CCCCCCGTTTACTTAGAATTTTTCAAAAAAGATTTATTTACGCATACATGAGTTGGGGTATAGACCAGAGATGCTGGGGTCACGGGTGAGGGGATTCACCAGAGACAGAATGGGGAGCAGAACAGGAGGATCTATTGAAATACATTGTAGAGGGGAGCATTGGGCGGGACAGGAGAGTTCTGCTGTACCTTGTGGGTCACCTCCCTGGCCAGGGATCGAACTTATTGCAGTGGCTGGTGATAGCCTCATAATGCTGTGCTTTGACCCCTGTACCACCAGAGAGGGCCCCTACTTAAATGCTTAAATAAATGGTATTTTTTAATGGATACTTTTGCTTCTTCCTTTCTGGTATTTTAACTCTCTTAACTCTTGACTAATCAAACTATACTCTTTGGACAATATTAAATGACAATGGCAGTAGCCAACATCATTGGCTTTTTGTGATTTCTAGTATGTTTATCATTTGAGTATCTTTATAATACAAAGAAAAAAAAGCCTCTTTCTACCCCCTGAGGAAAGGTGTGGTAGAGAAAAGTAAGATTGAAGAGAGGAGACACAATTGTCTTGATTGCACATGTTGGGAGTCTGGGCAAAGGCCGTCTGCACTGTTAGCCATGCAGATAGAGATGACTGGTTGTTGGAATTTGGTTACTTTACGATGTGGAAGGTGTTCATAATTCCATAATACTCAACCCTCAGTGGGTGCATCACAGTCAGCCTTGGAGGCAGTGGCCCTGCCATAGCACTTGTCACATTACGGGGAAGGGGTGATTGCAGAGTAGGACTAGAGGTGTATTCCCTGAATTAGGGGTTCAGCAGAGGAAGTTGTGGACATTGGGGGACATGCACTTTTTTTTTTTTAAAGATTTATTTGTGCATACAGAACTGGGGTATAGGCCAGAGGCTCAGGGGCAGCGAGAGGATTCACCGGAGACAGAGTGGGGAGCAGAACAGGCAGGTCTACGAAGTACACTGCTGAGGGGAGCAGCGGGCGGGTCAGAAGAGGATCCACGCCTTGTGGTCACCTCCGGGGCAGGTGGGGCTCGAATTCATGAGGAAGTGGCTTTCGATTCTTAGTGCTGTGCTTTAACCCGCTGCGCCAGCAGGGAGGGGCCGGGACATGCACTTTTACTGAGAGCAAGTGTGTGACTACTAGGTCCTACAAAACGGAGACTAAGTTATAATTTAGGCCAGCCATGAACATTTGAGATAAGTAGGCGCCTAAAGTGTGTACATTATAACATAGGACTAGCTTTTGTGACCAAATAGGACTAAAGGTTTATTTCCTTCCTCTGCTCATGGTGTGGGAATAGGGATGTGGGAATGTAGTGGTTTTATGGAGAAGATAGAGCAGTTCTAGTTTTCTCTGTAGAGTCCTTCCTTTTGTGAACCAAAAAGTCAATGTCCGCATCAGTTGGTCTTGTTTGAGGTTTGGGGTGTTAATGTTTTCTCATTTTATGAAAGCAGAAGTTTTTTTATTATTGACATTTCTTTTTTAGCTTTTCTAGTGAAGATTAAAAATACTCTTTTCAATTTGAAGCTCCTTATTGTATATAAATATCTTACTTTTGATGATTTTGTTACTCTATTGAGGCTTTGTACTGCTTTACTAAAATACAATTATGTTTGTGTATAATACATGTTCTTTTCTGTGAAAAAGGCCTCCGAAATGCAATTTGCTTTTGTTATAATGAGATAAAACTAAATGAAAATTTTCTTTTGCAGAAATAATTTTTTTCCTGATGAAATAACTTATTTTGGGGCCTCCCTGGTGGCACAGGGTTTAAGATGTAGCACTATGAAGCTGTCCACAGCAGCTGCAGCACAAGTTGACCCCCAGCTGGGGGGATATACTCTCAGGACAACGTTAAATAACTTTATTGTTATTTAGGCTATCACCAGGCCGCATGGCACAGCAGAACTCTCCTGTCTGGCCTGCTGCTCCCCTCAGCAGTATATTTCAATCTGCTTGTTCTGCTCACTAATCTGTCCTTTTGTGAATTGCGCAACTCTTATCTGTATACCCCAGGTCAGAGTTGCATACACAGTTCAGGTGTGCATACATATTCTAGTTATAAATAAGGCTTTAAAAAAATGAAATAACTTATTTGTAGTCTTAAAATCATGATTTAATTTTATTTTTCTTTTTTTTATAACCTCCCCCAAGATTAATTTTCACTTTTAATATTTTGTTCTTAGGTGCACCTTCTGTCGAATTTTTAGACTCTCCAGTTACAGTGGCAGACCACCCATTTCTAAAGGCTTTTCAAGGATCCTCTAGTTCTTCTCCTGAAACATTAACAGAGGGTAATGAAATTAAATTGAGAAATATTTTTGAATTAGTAAATGAGAATGCAAAGCCAGATATTTCTCTTACCCACCATTATAACAGTTTGATTATTATTTGAATTTTAATGTTGACTGGGACTGAGAAAAGCAAGTCACTTAATTTTTTTGGAAAAAAATTGTTAAATCTGAGAATTTTGACAAACTATAATTTGAAGTTTTTAAAGCCTATTCTGATCATGTTACTGCTTTGATGTTTAAATAAGAGAGTCCACCAGTGGATTAATTGTCTTGATCCTTTTGGCTTTTCCAAAAAGGATGAAACTCAGTGATTATTATAGGTTAGCAAGTTTTAACACTTTATAAATTATATATAAAAATGAAGAGTTTATTTTTAAGTATTAGTGTTCTGTTTACTGAAAATAAAAATAAAGACATTCAAGAAGAAATTTACGTAATTTTTAAGTTTTAGTATTTTAAAATCTTTAAATGGGAATTTCTTTGATAACATAGCTTTTTGTATATTTTATAGAAACTTTTCCTGTATCTTGACTTTTTTAATTACAAGGCTGCTTACAAAAACAATAAACAATGACATGATAAAATACAGATTGAAGAAATCAAAATCAAGGAAAGGGACATGATTGTGTCGCTTTCAAAGTTGATATAATTACTTCCTTAAATTTCAGTGTTGAATGAGTGTAGTGACAACCAAGGCAGAGATCAGTAACTATTTATTGTAATAAAGGAGGAAACATGAGTTCTTAGTGCTGAAGTTATATTCGTGCTGAATTTTGATCTTCAATTGATCATGCAGTGGCCACGGTCCTTAGAAACCTTTTTTTCATCAAATGCAGCATTTCTGATTGCTGCTCATTTCTGATAGGTACCTTTGATAAATCTGGAAGCACACCATTTTACTACACAAATGGTAATATGCACAAAAATATAATTCATTGAAGATGAGTCTGCAAGGGTCTAAGCTCAAATGGTCCAATGTGATTAGTGAAGATCCAAAGTTCCAGACAAATGACTCGATGGCACGCAGAGTAAGCAATTTTCTTAATACAGCTTTTATAAGGGATGGTTGACAGAATATGGTTGTACTTAGGTGATTGTTTGCAGTTAAGTGATTTTTGTGTTGCTAGTAGAAAGTGAATTCATGTATTTAAAAAACTAGAATATGTATTTAGTTGACAGTCCTTTTTAAAAAAGATTTATCTTGCTTATTTATTCACACAAGAACTAGGTGTAGGCCAGAGGTACAGGGGGTGAGAGTGCAGAGGCAGAGTGCGAGCAGAACAGATGGATCTTGTCTGTTTTTGATATGAAGGGACCCAACGAAGACATCTGCTGACATGAAGGTGAACTTTTACATGATTACGGGTTCTTGAAAGCCAGATTTTCTTTACTGAGGCACATTTATGCTTCTCTTAGCTGATAGTTGAAAACAATGGAAGTGGTGATATCAACACTGTGACTGCCTATTTTAAAACTTTCTTTGGGCTACTGTAACAAAACATCACAGACTTGGTGGTTTATAAACAATAGAAATTTATTCCTAATGGTTCTGAAGGTGGAAAGTTTTGAGACCCAGGCACCTACCTGTATGGCTGTGTTCCAGAGCAGGTTCTTTTGTTGATTCTAGTTGGTGCCTTTTCTCTGTGTCCTCCCATGGTGTAGGATCTAGGATCTAAGCAACCCCAAAGGCCCTCCTTCTTAGATTGCTATGTTAGGTATTAGAATTTCAACACAGGAACTTTGGGGGAGCATAAACATTCTGATCATATCACAAACCTTCTATAATTTTGTGCATTATCTGTACAGGGTTACATGGATTTCTAGTTTAGTCATAGAACGTAAAATGTAATTGAACAAAGGTAAGTGTGCTCTAGTATAAAATAATTACATGACATTATTTAAAATAGGAACCAGATGAATATTTGGGGAATGTTTGCCAATAAATATTACTTTAGTTTTAATAATGCTCTACTTTCTAAAAAAGAATCAGGTAGCAGGGTCATGGCTATTCATTTCTGATTTGAAAAATAAAAATATTACTACTGGAAATTGTTCTTTCTGTTGTTTATTTCAGGAGAATTTATAATTACTTGTTACTTAGATTTTTTCCCCTATTTGTTTAGCAGGTACAAGTAGTCAAGTCTCTTCCTTAAGGAGACCTGAAGAGGATGACATGGCTTTCTTTGAAAGACGATACCAGGAAAGGGTAGGTCTGTGGGAAAGTTAGCTTACATTAAGCACTTAATTGTAACAGAGACACTGCAGATCAATTGTATATTGATTGAGGGTCCTCTATTAAAAAAAAAAACCTTTAATTACAACTGGTGTTAGGCCTTGAGACTTATTTAAGACAATTCAGATACAAAAAGGATTAATGAATAACATGGCAGTGTAATGGCTACTTTATTTAGGTTATAAAGCTTGACTAATTATACAAAAAAAGTCATTAAAGTTATCAATTATCTGGAGACTTGTAAATTATATGTAGAATTTCTTCCTCTCACAGGCTTCTAGGTATAACATACTCTAGTTAAAATTATCCAGTGGCTTCCAAGAAATAGCACTGAATATAAATGTATTTTAACAATTTCCAGGATTCAACAGCTACATTCTTGTTAACCTGCTTTCCTGTAGTGATAATTTTCATCAGTTCTTTACACTAAAAATGTCTTGGGGATAAGCATATTCTTTATTCTTGTTTTTTCCCTGGAACTAAATACAGGGCCTTGCCATAATATTTATGGAATATTTAAAAATATATATGTCAATTTTTATTGAAAATTGAAAAGATGCACATGGATTTGATTGATACTTGCTTTCATACATGTCAAGCACTTACACTTCTGATGTGTTTCATATGTATGAGCTTTATAGTTTTGTTTTTGTTTATTGTGAAATAATGTTGGTTTGATCAGATATGGAGGTGGTGTTCCAGCCACATGGTACATTCCCATAGTGCTTTCCTTACCATTATTTTAATGTTGCCTTCTGGGCATTTATTATTTCTCCAAGTGGATAATAAATGCCATGAAAGTAGAGTGTTCTTGTCACTTTATATTGTATCCACCGCAACAAGCGCTTGTTGAATATAAAGATGTAGAAAAAAGAAATCATTACATAGATTCACCATCTAAAAGCAGAGGAAGTGAGTAGGTGCCAGAGAGGTTAGTTTGACTTCCCTAATGAAGGAATTTTGAAGTTAGAAGAGGACAATCCTGGATATGATTTATGGCAGAACTACTAGATAAAATATCTGCAACTTTCTGTGGTGGTAGAAATGTTCTATTATCTGGGCTGCAGTCATTTGTCATATGTACCCATGTAAGTATAAATTAAATAATTAAAGTTTATTTTTTTATTTCACTAGTTATATTCAAGCGCTTAGTAGCCACATATGGCTAGTGGTTACATTACTGGACAGCAGAGGAAGTTCATTAAGGGAAAGAGGTAATAATAAGGTCTCAGAGAGGGAGTTGAAATGGTCAGGGTGATGGAACAAAGGGCTACTTTTGCAGCATTAACAAGGTTGGATTTTTTTTAAAGACTTATTTATTTATGCATATATATTGACTATATGCATAAATGTACAGGCCAGAGGTGCAGGGGCAGTGAAAGGATTCACCAGAGACACAGTGGAGAATAGGAAGACTGACAAAATACACTGCTGAGGGGAGTAGCAGGCAAGACAGGAAAGGTCTGGCGTGCCATTTGGGTCACCTCCCTGGCTGGGGATCAAACTCGAGCTGAAGCGGCTGGGGCTAGCTTTGTAGTGCTGTGCTTTAACCTATTGCACCACCAGGGAGGGCCCAAAAAGGTTGGATTTTAATCAAACCAGTCTCTAATCTGGGAACACATACTCATGAGTAAATTTTAATTTTTCCTCATAAGCTTATGGGGGGACTGAGTTCTAGAACTTACTCACTTCCTCCTCCAGAAGGCTGGGCAGTAGTGAATGCCTTTAAAAATATGTCTAAGATTTTTTGTTGTGGGGAGATAATTGAAGGTTTTTATTTGTGAATATATTAGAGGATGTAACTGATGTGTCCAAACTGCTTCTAATAAACAGACATAGAATTTATAGATTTATGAGATATAGTTTGTAGCTCCAGCCTGTATGATTATTAGAGTATAAAAAATAAAGTTGAGGGCCTCTCCTCCCTGGTGGCGCAGCGGGTTAAAGCACAGCACTGAGAATCTAAAGCCGCTTCCGCATGAGTTCGATTCCCACCTGCCCTGGAGGTGACCACATGGCGTGGCAGACCTCTCCTGACCCGCCCGCTCGCTGCTCCCCTCAGCAGTGTACTTCATAGATCTGCCTGTTCTGTCTCTGGTGAAGCCTCTCGCCGCCCCTGAGCTTCTGGCCTGTACCCCAGTTCTGTATGTACAAATAAATAAATCTTTAAAAAAAAAAAAAGTTGAGGGCCTCTTTTGTGGTGCAGGGGTTAAAATCTCAGTGTTATCAAACTATTGCCAGCTACTGCGGCATCCCTAGCCAGGGAGCTTACCCACATGGCAGAGCAGACCTCTCCGGCTGCTCCCCTCAGCAGTGTATTTCAGTAGATCTTCCTGTTCTGGTGAATCCTCCCCCTACCCCCCAAACCCCCACACTTACTCCTACCCCCTCCCCGACACACACACACATATACCTCTGGCCTATACAGTTCTAATATACATAAATATATAAGAATAAATGCTTAAAATAAACAAAGCAAATATATATCAATATATAAGAATAAATCTTTAAAACAAAGCAAAAAACTAAAGTTCAAGCCTCAACAACAGCCTTTGAGCTGACATGCGCCATTCCACGTTAGTACTATTCATCTTTATTCAAAAACTAAGACATGAATCATTGAGGTGGGATGTTTAAGAAGCTGTGTCTCGTGGGTTCAGGACCCCGCAAGAAAGCATTGCTAACTTCTGTATCTTGTCTCTGCTGGTATCCTTTGCTAATCAGGGTCACATTTGGTGAGGGGGAGAATCTATGATTAGTGTGAATCAGCTTTGAAAACTGAAGCCTTTGTGGTAAAATAGTTTACTAACTAGTTTTCTGACCACATGGTATGGAGCTAAAAATCATAACAAGAGGTATTATTAATGAAGAGTCCTTTTTTATATACTAGTCAATATGCCAAATTACTTTCTTCTACTGTGGATGACTCTTGGTCTCTTTTCCTCAAGAAAGAATTAAGAAATAGTTATCAAAGGTCAACTAGATGCAAGGAATTGTGTCAGTGCAGGAAACTGGAAAAAAACTAACCAGCCAAACAAACAAAACAAGGAAGTCCAGGAGGAGGTATTTTTGTTTTTTGGGCAATAGATGGATGTGTTTGCTAAGCACTAGTATATCTGACCACATGCAGCTTTGGCTTTTGTTTGTTTTAGTGTCTTTGCTCTTTTTTGATGTTACCATAAATCTAAAATTTGACCTTAAATGAAGGGGGGTGGGGAGATTAGCATTTATTAAGAACCTCAATTTTTTTTAAATATTTATTTATT